TAAGGAACAATTAACTCCATCTCCCCCTCCCTCACCTCTCCAAAAATAAAGAACAAACAAAATGCACTATTCTCTTATGTTCTTAGGAAGGAATCTTTCCTAGGTATCTGTTAGTATTTTTTTTTTATGGCTTTATTGAAACATTATTGATAGACAGTAAACTGCTGATATTTAAAGTATACAACTTGATGAGTTTTGGCATGTAACACCTCTGAAATAATTATTGTAATCAAGGTAACGAACATTTCCATCATCCCAAAGTTCCTTGTGACCCTTTGTAGTCAGTCTCCTCCTTGCCCTTAGCTTGAAGCAACCACTAATCTGCCTTCTGTAACTACAGATTGGTTTTAGTTGCTCTAGAATTTCCTAAGTGGAATCATACGTTATATACTTTTTTTGTCTAACTACTTTCTGTCAGCATATTGCTTTTGAGATTCATCCATGTTGTGTGTATCAATAGTTTATGTTTTAAATTGTTGAGTACAGGGGCGCCTGGGTGGCGCAGTCGGTTAAGCGTCCAACTTCAGCCAGGTCACGATCTCACGGTCCGGGAGTTCGAGCCCCGCGTCAGGCTCTGAGCTGTCAACACAGAGCCCAACGCGGGCCTCGAACTCACAGAATGTGAGATCATGACCTGAGCCAAAGTCGGACCCTCAACCAGCTGAGCCACCCAGGCGCCCCTATTTAACTTTTTAAGAAACTGTTTTCCAAAGTGATTGTATCATTTTATATTCCCATCAACAGTATATAGGAAGATTCCAGTTGTTCCACATCCTTGATAATTCTTGGTATCATCAGTGTTTTTAATCTGAGCCATTCTAGTGGATGAGTGTAGTGGTGTCTCACTGTTATTTAATTTGCATTTCTCTAAAAACTAAGGGAACGTTTGAGCATTATTCATGTGTTTATTTTCCATCCATACATTTTCCTTGGCACAGTGTCTGTTTAAATCTTTAAAGGAATTGTCTTCTTATTTGACTTAAGATTATTATGTATTCTGAATATGCCTTTTTCTGGGATATATGTTTTGTTTTGTTTTGTTTTTAAGTTTATTTATTCTGAGAGAGAGCACATGAGGTGGGGAGGAGCAGAGAGAGAATCCCAAGCAGGCTCTGCACTAGTAGCCTGAGATCACCACATGAGCCGAAATCAAGAGTTGCATGGTTAACTGAGCCATCCAGGTGCTTCTGGAAATATGCTTTATAAATATTTTCTTTATCTTTTGAAGAACAAACATTTAAAATTTTGATGAAATCCAGGTTATTGATTTTTTTTTTTTTTCTGGTACAGCTTGTATTTTGTGTGTCCTATTTAAGAAGTCTTTGTTTTAACTCAGGGTTACTAAGGTTTTTTTCCTGTTTTCTTCTAGAAGTTTCATAGTTTTAGCTCTTACATTTAGGTCTGTGTTCCACTTCCAATTCTTTTTTGTATATGGTGTGCAATAAGTGGTAGGATTAATTTATTTTACATATGGCTGTCCATTTGATCTGGTACATTTGTTAAAAAGATTGTTCTTGGGGCACCTGGGTGGCTCAGTTGGTTAAGCGTCTGACTTTGGCTCAGGTCATGATCTGGTGGTTTGTGAGTTTGAGTCCTGTGTTGGGCTCTGTGCTGACAGTTCAGAACCTGGAGCCTTTGTCTCCCTCTTTGTCCCTCCCCTACTTGTGTTCTATCTCTCTTTCTTTTTCTCTCAAAAATAAACAAACATTAAAAAATTTACATAAAAAAAGATTATTCTTTCCCCATTCAATTATCTTAGCACCTTTGTCTTAAATCAATTGGCCATAGGTGGAGCTGGATGCTGCACTTGATCCTGCAACCCTGGGATCATGACCTGAGCCAAAATGAAGAGTCAGATGCCAAGGGTGCCTGGGGTGGCTCAGTCATTTGAGCATCTGACTCTTGATTTTGGCTTAGGTTATGATCCCAGGGTCAAGGGATTGAGCCCCTGTGTCTGGCTCCATGCTGAGCATGGAGCCTGGTTAAGATTTTCTCTCTCTCTCTCTCTCTCTCTCTCTCTCTCTCTCTCTCTCTGCCTCTGCCCCTCTGCCACTTGCACTTACCCTCTGTCTCTAAAATTAAAAAAAAAAAAAAAACAACAACAACACAACTTTTCTGATGAGATTGGTGGCAGTATTAACAAATATAATTTTTAAAATATTGCATAATAAAATATATTACATTTGGAAGGTCTGCTACACAACTCAGTGAATCAGTATTTTCCAAAATTCAAATGCATATTACAAAATTTTGCATGGATAAAATATCCACTAAAAGTAATGTACTATAGACCAATGGATTTTATTGTATAGGGTACAAAGAGGTTCATTGATTTCATACTGCACTGTAACATTATAGTTATGAAAATTATGAAGTACTCCCATTTGACAACTATCTGTATCACAATAGAAAGAATGACTCTGATATGAGAACCCAGTTTTCTTCTACTAAGTCAGACATGAATAAGATTTTCCGAAATATAAGACAGTGCCACTTTCCTAACTAACTTTTTTGTTTGGGAAAATATAGCTATTTTTATAAAAAATTTATGTAACATTATCTTTAAATGAATTTTGTTGTACTCTGAAATGTAACAAGACAACTATTGACTAATGACTGTTGTAGTTATTACAGATACCTTGCCATTAGTGTAAAAATCAGCAATATATTTTGAACACGCTGACCTTTATTTTAATGCATTTAGCTGGTTAGTTGATCTTTTTGGTAGCCAAAGAATACACAAGAGTAGAAGACATGACTGTCGTAGAGCCTTTTTTAGTTTCATAAGATAAAAATCAAGAAAAGGTAAATACTGAATATTTGTTAGAATTGAATCTGCCTACTGGTAAGTAGATCATGTTTTGGAAGTAAATTAACTTCTCTCCAGGCTGTAGCGTGACATTTCAAGTGAAAACATGTAACTCAATAATTAGGATTCTGGCATACTAATTCTAATAAATTCTAATTTATCATAAAATTTATCATAAAATTCTAATTTATCCTGAATGATCTACATATATTTATGTAGCTAGTGTCTTCAATATTGAGAACTTTCATGGAAAACATTAATTCTTTTTTTTTTTTTTATTTTTTATTTTTTTAAAAAAAAATTTTTTTTTTTTCAACGTTTATTTATTTTGGGACAGAGAGAGACAGAGCATGAACGGGGGAGGGGCAGAGAGAGAGGGAGACACAGAATCGGAAACAGGCTCCAGGCTCTGAGCCATCAGCCCAGAGCCCGACGCGGGGCTCGAACTCACGGACCGCGAGATCGTGACCTGGCTGAAGTCGGACGCTTAACCGACTGCGCCACCCAGGCGCCCCCATTAATTCTTTTTTTAAAAGTTTATTTATTTATTTGGAGACAGAGAGTGCGAGTGGGGGAGGGGCAGAGAAAGGGGGAGAATCTCAAGCAGGCTCCATGCTGTCAGTGCCTGATGCCAGGCTAGAACTCACAAAACTGAGATCGTGACCTGATCGAAATCAAGAGTGGGATGCTCAACCGACTGAGCCACCCAGACACCCCTTAAAGAATTGTTTTAAAAAGTGGAATTTAGAAAGCCTGTAAAAGAGAGCTCATAATTAATTGCACCTGCCTGAACATACATATAAAGGCATTTTCTAAAACAGTTTTACAATCTCATAAAAAATTTAAAACAGAAAAGCAATCCTGTAATACAATTGAAAATAGAAAAAATAATAAACCCAAGCACTCTTAGAATAAGAGCATTTACTAAACTGTGGTTAAGTTTGGCTTGCTAGCCTTGTTCAGTGATCTGGTATCTTATAACTGAAAGTGTTCATTTTAGATTGTTGGAGCCCCACTAAGTGTTGAACATAGAGGATTGAACAATATATGCCCCCTGTAGACACGGAGGTATGCTACCCACATTCCCCTCAAATAAGGGCTTACGGTCCAGCTATAAGGAGTTGGATAACCAAGTGACCCCTTCTGCCTGCATCTTAGAGTCTGCCTTTGTTACAGAGTCACCTTCCCCAAGTGATTGACCTTTCTGGACCAGCATGCATTTGTAGACTGAACAAGGAAAAGGTAAAAAGACCTGGTCTTTTCAGCCTTTCACAGAGCACTCTTATGGACAGTACTTGCTACAGGGTTTCCTGCCTGGTTGGTTGAAATTTTATTGGGCCTGCATCACAGTTTGAGTTTTGTCCAGACTTGCTTTCCTTGCTTTCCTTTCATAGGTATTGATCCCCAGTAAACATTTTGTACCCCAAACAGCACCTCATGTCTACTTTGGAGCGACCAACCTGCAGTAGCTCCTGATCTCATGGAACTGATTTATAGGGAGGAATTATCCATCAAATGAGATTTAAAATGTGATCAGTGTTGTACAGAATTATAGGGTTCTATGATAGTGTGTTACAAAAAGAACCTAAGCCTGATTATTATGTTGTTTAGGGAGGTAACCTAAATTAGTGGTCAGACCTAGATGTAATTACCAGATTAATTGCTTTTGAGTAGCATGAACCATGCCACTTATGTACCAAGTCAGTTTTCTATTTGTAATATGGAATGGCACATGGTCCTTCCTCCTTTAGGCCACTAACCTGGGATTGCTCACATGGCTGGGAGAAGATTCCTAGCAGCAAGAGAACCCAGTGCACAAATAGTTTGCAAGCCCTCGCTTGTGTTAATTTGCTAATATCCCATTGGTGGAAGCAGTTTGCATGGCCAAACCTTGATTCAAAGATGGAGAAATAGACTCTGCCTCTCCATGGGAAAATGAGTGTGTGTGTATTAAAAATTAATAATCCAATGCTTGATATAGTAGTAGTTAACATATTGAGCATTTTCTCTAAATAATACTTAGTAAGGGGCAGCTGGAGTATTATATTTAATATGTTCTATCTTTGTGTGATATGAAAGAGAAGGAACTCACTTGGAGAATTTGGTATATTCTTCTGATGTCTTAAAATAATTTTTATGATGGGAACAGTTTGCAAATAAAGCTCATTCTCTTTTCTTTTTTCCTCTGCAGTAAGAAAAATGGAAAACCACCATTACAGAACAATGAGGTAAAATTTTAAATAACCTACTCTTTGGGATTTCATGTATTTCATTTATTTTGTTACATGAATTAGGATAAAATAATATATTAGAATTAGAAGGGAACTTATTCAATCCACTGTTTATTATAGGAATTCTTTTTGAAATAGGATTCCTTGATAGGTGACTTCCAGTATTTACTTGAATCTGTTCATATGATGAGGAGTAGTAACACCTAGGAGGCAGCCATTGCTGTATTAGTTCCAGCCCATAATGAGATTAATCTTCCCCTCTACCCTCTTAGTGATTGATTCTATTTTGTCTTCTGTAGCCATACAGGACAAGCCTGCTCTGTTTTCTCTAATAGACTTTCATATTGTTTGAAGATAGTTTATCTATCTTCTACCTATCTGTCATGGTTTCCAATCTTTTTCAATTCCATATACATTCTTCTGGACCTACACTGATTAGTTTCTCTAGACATTATTCTTAGTCTAGAACACTTGACTAGCATGGAATATATCAGCACTATTACCTCTCTTAATATGAAAGCCATATTGCTGAAATTCAGCCTAGAATTACATTTATGTCTTTGCTCCTAACTGCTGTTTACATTGAATTGAGTTTTTGGTAGATTGTAACCTTCATTTATCCTTTAAAAAAAATTATTTTAATGTTTGTTTATTTTTGAGAGAGAGACAGAGTGCGAGCGGGGGAGGAGCAGAGAGAGAGAAGGAAACACAGTCTGAAACAGGTTTCAGGCTTTGAGCTGTCAGCACAGAGCCCAATGAAGGGCTCAAACTCATGAACTGCAAGATCATGACCTGAGCCCAAGTTGGACACTTAACTGATTGAGCCACCCAGGCGTCCTTCCTTCAGTTACTTTCTGTTGAACAACTCTGTTGGCAGATTCCCTACATCTGTATTCATCAGTTGAATTTCTTCTTTAATAAAAGCTTTATTGAGATGTAATTTATAGACTACAAGATTTATCCATTCAAGGATACAGTTCAGTATATTCGCAGAGTTGTGGGGACTAATTTTAGGAAATTGTCATCTCCCCAAAAAGAAATTCCATACCCATTAACAATCACTCCTCATTAACCTCTTCTTTTAGACCCCAGTAATCACTAATCTATTTTCTATTTCTGTGATTTGCCTATTTCAGAAATTTTATGTAAAAAGAATCATAATATGTGGTATGTTATGACTGCTTTTATTTAGCATGACATTTTCAAGGTTCATTTGTGTTGTTGCATGTATCAGTAGATCATTCCTTTTTATTGCCAAATAATATTCTGTTGCATAGATTTACCACATTTTATTTATCCATTTATCAGTTGAGGGAAATTTAGGTTGTTTTCATTTTTAGGTTATAAGGAATAATGCTGCTATGAACATTCATGTGCAAATTTTTGTGTGAACCTGTGTTTTCATTTCTTTTGAGTAAATACCTAGGAGTGGAATTGCTGGATCATATGGTAACTTAGTTGATTTATTTTAAATAAATATTTATTTCTATACATGGCAGCTTATTGGATATGTGCTATTAGTCTATAGTATGTCTGTACTGTTAGTGTAATTTTGAATGTAATTCTGACGTCCAATAAGTCCGGTAGAAGGCATTCTCCATAATTAAAATTTTAGTTACTTATTTATTTATTTTAATATTTATTTATTTTTGAGAGAGAGAGAGAGAGAGACAGAGCATGAGCGGGGGAGGGGCAGAGAGAGAGGGAGACACAGAATCTGAAGCAGGCTCTAGGCGCTGAGCTGTCAGCAAAGAGCCTGACGTGGGACTCAAACTCACAAACTGTGAGATCATGACCTGAGCCGAAGTCAGATACTTCACTGACTGAGCCACCCAGGCGCCCTAAAATTTTTTTTTCATGCTTGTTTATTTTTGAGAGAGATACAGAGAGCTCAAGTGGGGGAGGGGCAGAGAGACAGGGAGACACAGAATCCAAAGCAGGCCCCAGGCTCTGAGCTGTCAGCACAGAGCCTGATGTGGGGCTCAAACCCATGACCCATGAGATCATGACCTGGACCACCCAGGTGCCCCATTTTCAGTAATTTAAATTGGCCTTCTCATTGTTCTTCAGAATTGCTGATATTATTGACTATGTAATTAGGACCAAGGAGGTTACTCCAGCATCTCTTAATCTTTATTTGTTTGCTTGTTTTCGGTTATGGTTTATTTGGCTATGACCATATCCAACTATAGCAAAATCAGGTTCATATTTCTTTATTAAGGGCCACAGTAATTTTCTAAGAACATCAATTCTTGATAAGTTTATTGATTCATTTATAAAGTCGATCTCCCAACAAATATTGATTGATCCCTTCATATATGCCTAGTTATTGGTCTTGTCTCTGGGTGTACAGCAGATATGAATATAAGTCCTTACCCTTGTGGAGCTTACATTATACATGTCAGTTAATATACTAGTAAAATGTTCTTAACAAAGAAGAAAATGGGAAGAGTTAGACATGACTTATTCCTAGTAAACTCATGCTCGCTTCTAGTAATTAGTGTCTCTTAATGTACCCAGATCTTCCATATAATGTCTATTCTCTGAATATTCCAGAAATTGGTGTCAAAATTGCTGTTCTTTGGTTTCTGTGATCTTTTTCTCTGACTGTGAAGAATGGGACAAGGTTTGTTTATCTCAATGTCTGGCATATTTCTATCTTCATAATCTCATATCTAAATTATATCTGAGTAATCAAACCTTAATTATCTTAGTTATATCTACCATCTGCATCGTATCATATCAAGTTCTAGGACATCATTAAAACTTGTCAGTACAGCTAAATTCATTCACTGATTCTTTAATTTCTATTTTTGTATAACTTTTTTAGCATATACTTATTTGCTCATTGTATAGTGTGAGCAAGATAACTTTATGTTAGATTAAATAGTTGACAAAGGGATATAATACAGTATGCACACTTATACCACATTTGTAAAATTTATAGGAAGTGAGCACGTATACACATACATACATATATGCTGAAATGAAATCTGGTGGGATATTTGCCTGGTAGTTGATGTCTCTAAATGATAGGTATAGGCTCCTTATTTTTGCTCTTCAGACTTTTTAATTTTTCTGTAGTTAATGTGTTACTTAGGAGGGAAAGCAGTTAAAAAGGGAATGTTTTTTTCATTGAAATTTTTTTATAATGTTTGGTGGGATGGTACAATTTTCACAAGACATGAGATTTAAGAAGAAGATTTAATAGAGTTACACAGTAGTATAAACACATAGTTGAGTTGATTTAAAAATACTTCTTTAATTTTGATGGCAGTATACATGACATAAAACTCAAAATATATAAAGGAAAACACAGTACTGTGTTTATGGGGAACCATAAATTCAAATGGGGAATTTAGCATTCCCATGCATGTTTTATACTGATGGGGTGTTTGTATGTATGTGTATCTTCATAAATGTTAGTGTAAGTAGAACTATTTTGCATATTAAAAATTCTATAAATTGAATCATGGATGTATCATTCTACTTTTTTTCAGCTTAATGTTTTTTAGTTTCAGTGTTAATGTCTGTGTTGATAGCTGAACATCTAGTTAATGTAACTGCTCTGTAGTATTTTGTTGTATAAATAGGAGCTGCTTCCTTTTTTACAGGTGTGTAGAATTTTCATTGCATAAATTTTCTATAATTTATATACTATATCATTATTGATGCATATTTAGGTTTTGATTTTATGATAATATACGGTGTGCAGATGTTTTTCATTTATGTGTTTAAGCATATGTGCAGGAACACCAATAGGATAAGTTCCTAAAAGTAAATATGCTGAGTTATTTTACATTTTACAGCCCGTGTACATTTTACATTTTGTTAGTTGCTATTATAGGTATTACATGATAGTCGTATCAATTTGCACTTTCCCAACAATACACCGGAATGCTTACACTCTTGTCAGCGCCATATGACCTTTATTTTATTTGCTGTTTCAAACATCTGTTTTAGTTCATTCTAGTTCATCTCACCTTTCTAAGTTGATTGGCACATCAGTTGGAACTTCTTTTTGCCCTTTGACCTAGTTGCCTCCTGAGTGTTAGGTACATTATTTTCTGGTTGCATTTTTCTTTCATTATTTAAATGGTCTTTATCTAATGGTTTGCTTTTTCTATAATTTTAAGTTTTAAATTTGTAACATCAAAGTGTTTTTTTGTATTTTTAAAGAAATAGTGGGAAGTTCCAGGTGGGGAAAGTCAATTGTGAAATTGAAGTGAATTCATAGGATGGGCTAGTAGTGTTTATGAAATGTACTGTCTCTGTAGATGCTCTCCTTTAGATTGGTTTCAGGTATGAGTTTTATTACGTGTCAAGACTGGTAGAGCATTTTGGTACGTCTTCAGCCTTTCTGAGCCAGCCTTCTAGTCCAGGGGTTTCTTTGCAAAACATGCGGTGATGACTTTAGGAAGTATATATGCAGTTCCTTCATGGCTTGAAATGAAATGCAAATCAAGTCAGGCTTTCAGAAAGCTTATGGGTTAGGAGTGGTGACAATAGGAGCAGTAATAAAAGAGGAGGAAGAATTACATACCAAGTAGCTGTTAAGATTTTAAAGTGCTTCAATGTGACTTTCTTATAACTTTTCTAAAACTGTCCTCATTGTTTTCCCTAGATCGTTTTTTGAAAGCAACTAGAAATAGGTAATCTTCTGTTTAAGTCAGAAGATGGCCATTTAATTTATTACTACTCTGTTTATTCAAGGTATTGACTACATGTGCAGTGAGGTGTGGTAGGGAGGCAGTGACAGTATAAGTTTTAACTTTTTTTTTTTAAAGGCAGTTGATATCTATTGCCTTGTCTTTATTTTTTTCTTCCTATATTTTGTCAGTTGGGGGAAGTAAAAGGGGAGATTTCAGTTGAAGTTGTAGGGTTTAGCTTGAGAAGAATAAGCTAGCTAAAGTAAATAGACTGGGGGCGCCTGAGTGGCTCAGTTGGTTAAGCATCCCACTTTGGCTCAGGTCATAATCTCACGGTTCATGAATTTGAGTCCCACGTTGGGCTTGCTGCTGTCCGTGCAGAGCCTGCTTCAGATTCTTTCTCAGTCTCCCGCCCCTAACCCATTCCCACTCGCTCTCTCTCAAAAATAAATAAAAACATTAAAAAATATATTAAAAAAAACAAATAGACTGTAAGTAGCACGTTTGGTCTATTTTACTTACTGGTGTATCCACATCATTCAGAACAGTGCCTGGGACTGAGTGAGTATTTATTGAATGAATGCATGCATGTGTGAATGAAGTAGACTGGGCCTCTAATTCAGTAGAACGAGTTTTGCAACCTTCATAAGGTTTGAAAGACCTAAGCTCCATTCTAGCAGTAACATGGTAGGCTGATTGTTACCCATCTTAGTCTTCCTGATGTAACTGTACAAATACAGCCCCTTCAGACTTCCTTTCTTGGTTTACAGTTCTGTAATGCAGTCAGTGCCTGTTAAGATTATATAAATATAAGGCACTTAGCACAGTGTCTGACATACAGATGGAAGATTATTATTATTCTAATTCAGTATACAAATTATTCATTTCAGGTTCATCAGCTTAGATGAAACATATTTACACTAAAGTTTAACTATAGAATTTACTATACCATGGGTATTGTTTATCAAGAGCCTACTAGTTAACAAATAAGTAACTGATTATGGGAAGTGGGGAAGGGTCTAGGGAGGGGATGGGATCCTTCTGGTGTGTGTTGCCTACTGCAGGAAGTTTCTCCTGTATATTCTTCCAAACAGTCCAGGGGTAATAAAGTAAATAGCCTCTACCATACCCAGTTCATCTTACATTTTCTTTATCCTTGCGAACACTTAAAAGAAGAAATGTCTGAGGATGGTAAGATTAATCACTGCTCTTAAGTTTCTTCAGTGGTTTCCCACTACACTGGCAATAAACTCTAAGTCCTTACTGTGGCCTCAGGGGTCTGTCTTTTGCAGGCCATGTCAACCTCTTCAGCTTTTCTCATTTTTAATCTCTTTGCTTTAACATTTCTACACTCTTGCTCTTCGGTGTACGCACTAATTTTAATTCTCAACGCTGGGTTTTTGTGTTTGGTGTTCCCTGTGCTTGACTACCCTCCTGTCCCAAAGTTATCACATGGCTTCACTTTATGTCGCAGCTTAAATGTCACCTCCCCAAAGAGCTCTTGCTTTCATCCTACCTGAATCTGTCTTTTTCTTCTGGTCCTGCCTAGTGTACCTGTAACAATTTATTGGTTTATTTTTATCTGTATTTCTTCTGTTAGAATGTGAGCTGTAGGAGTAAAGGTACCTTGTCTTAGAGTTTACAAGGAGGAGAGAGTGAGTTGGTAGATTGCATGTTGGAAATGCTAAATGATAAATATAGGAAACTAAAAGTTCCCGGTAATTAATACCAGGAAAATTCCTGTTCAGGATTTTAAAAACATTCTACTGTTAATCAGGAAGTAGATAATAGTAAGTACTTGACCATTTCTTAGCTGTGTCTCTGATCTCATCTTCTGCTTCTATCCTTTGCTTCTAGTTCCAGCCAGATTGCCATTTCGTTGTTCCTCAAGCAACTAAATTGAGCTTTCACCTTGGCATTTTACACTTGCTGTTTCTTCTGCTTGCAGTGTTCTCCCGGATATTCCCGTGGCCCAGAACTTCTCACTTCTTTATTCAGTTTCTGATAACATTTTATTTTTCTTGAAAACATGTTTGAAGAGCAGTGCAAGTTTGCACTCTCTGAATGCAATATCCATTTTGATAATTGTTATTACTGACTTTGATGAAATGTGGTTCTTTAATCTTATTTGTTATAAATATCTTAACTTTTTTTGTTTTAATGTAGAAAGAGGGGAAAAAAGAGCGAGCTGTGGTGGACAAGGTGTTTCTTTTAAGACTCACACGGATTCTGAAAATCATGGTTCCTAGAACATTTTGTAAAGAGGTAAGTCTTATGAAATTATATTGTTTAACTTTTGAGGTTACATGAGATCAGACCAATAGCTTTTGTTATTCTACAGGTCAGATGTTTTCTGTGTAGGTAATGAAGACTACTACTAAATTTTAATTTTTTTTTAATCATCTCCTGTCATGTAAGTACTCTTGTTGTTTGGTGCCAGTTTTTAAATAGTTTTCTCTTGTTTATGAAATATTCATTATATTTTGTGTGACATGCTAGATAGAGTACTTCACTGCAGCTACCTTAAATGGTGTTGTTGTATTTTTAATTAATTTGAGGGAGAAAGAGAGGGTGCGTGTGCACTTGAGCTGGGGAGGGGCAGGGAGAGGGGAGGGGGGAGAGAGAGAGACAGAGACAGAGACAGAGAAAGAGAAAGAGAAAGAATGAATATCCTAAACAATCTTGGAGGAGCCTGGTACGGGGCTTAATCCCATGACCGTGAGACCATGAGCTGTGCTGAAGTTGAGTCAGATGCTTAACCAACTGAGCCACCCAAGTGCCCCCGTATTGTTTTCTTATAGCTAAATTCTGTTAATAAAAACAAGATTACATTTAGAAAGACAAACATTTTTATATCATTGAGACATTAACAAGTCACATTGATTTATGGATGGAATATGTTTGAGGGTTATGCTTTTGTATTTGATTAAATATGTTTTTGAGATGCCCAAAATGATATATGAATTCTCCCAGTAGTTTCAGGAAGTGAGCTGGTTCTAGGAATAAATTTTTATTATCTTTTCCTTTGCCCTTTTAATCAGTATTACCTTTATCATTATTTGAGGAGTATTTTTAATGATTAAAAAATAAGATAATGCTGTGTTCTCCATCTTTAGTCACCGTCTGTACCACTAGAAATATCATTACCTTTCACTCTCTTTCCCATAATTCATCTTTTCAGTCACTGGGATTGGATCATTTTTCATTCTGAATATTCTTAACCTGGATATTGTAGTGTTCTTTAGTTAGTTTCACTTCAAAGAAGCTCCCCTTTTTATCTTCTCTGCCAAATTTATTTTCTTTTT